ATATAAGGACACTTCGGATATCTGTAAAATGTGTCGTTCAAAATGCCTGCAGATACTGCCCTAATGCGTATGGCATACTTTGTTGTCGTTTGACTATATACTCAACGACGATGATAATATTTGACAGGGTCTTTATAAACTAAATGATGTACCCTTGAACATTTTCAATAATATCTAATTAACAAGATTAAAATTGATGCGTTAATCTACCAATTTATAATGGATTTTCTGAAATCATTAACAATAATGCTCTTCCTAATTTCTTCCTTAAATATACAGGGTGTATTTCAACAATGAAGCACAAATTATATCAGTGATAATTTGGTGTTAATTAGGTGAATAACTGTGCAATGGTGTAATAATAATAACTGTGTAAAACTACCTACTACTGCACAGATAAATCAAATTTATTTGAACCCTGAGGGTATGATGCGCAATGGCAGAGTAGTGGACTGGGAAGACTATACCTTTACCACCAAAACTGCAACTTTCATCGAAGTCCTTTATTCTAATAAAATCAATTTCTCTGACCTTCGAATCATATTTTTGGCAAACAACGCGAAACTTGAAACGGAACAAAGACTGCGCGAGAAAATTGCAATATTGTATTTCCCAAACTTAAAAATAGATATCTTAATCAGTTCACTATAATATCGTCTGAAAACAAAATTACTTATATGGTTAGCTGCGTAGAATTTGATCCACTTAGAATGTTTTTTCTTTTAATTTACTTCAAAAAGTAAATATACTACTGTTTTTGGATTATTTATTAAACAAAATTAATATTTATTATTTATTCAGACCCAAATTTAAAAAATAATCACAAACAAACATTAACAAAAACGCAAAAACAAAGATACACTTCTATCTATAACATAACAGGCAACGAAATATTGAGTTAAATGTTGACTGCAAATATTCGTGTCAATTTTTATTAATTTTATTTAAACTGAAAAAAAAATAAATACATAATTATTCCAAACCATTCAAATTCACAGAAAAATTAACGTTAAGTAATTAGGTTATTAAATTATTTTGAGGATAAAATATTAAAATTTCTGTGTATATTACAAACCATTCAATTCATGAAGCAAATATACAGGGCTGGAAAATCCACATGGTCCATCTGCCTTTACATGAGAGCGACAAAGTAAAGTAAAGGAATCCGTGCTATAGACAAGAATGGCTATAGTGAAGACGTTTCATAATCTGAATAGTCACCGCCCGTTTCCGGTTAGAAGTGAGAATGACCATTCAGATTATGAAACGTCTTCAATCTAACCATCCTTGTCTATCGCACGAATTTCTATGACTTACTTTATCGCTCTCACGTAACGGCCGATATACCATGGGGACTTTCCGAACCTGTATAGTAAAAAAGATATGTTCACAGAATTAAACATTATTTAAAAATAATGCGAAAATACGTATTATTCGAAATCGTATTTTTAAGACGAGTTTTTAAATCAGTGGCAAACCCTGAAATCCACATAGAATATGAACTATTTAAAAGAGTTGTATTTAAATAAATAAGTGGCAATACGAGCCCAGGCTCATAATAGTTCGGCCGGTAATAATTTGTAACTATATTTTTGAAGATAATATTAAACTTAAAACAAAGGTGCAAAATTTAATCAAAACTATTACAACTATATTCAAAACTATACTTTTAAGTAGCTGAAACTGAAAATTATAATTAAATTACGTAAAGAAACAAATCAGTATAACAAAAAATGTATTTCACGTGGTAGGTCATAATAGTTCGGCCGCTTATCGTAATTGCCATGAAATCGAGCTGACTAGTTAAAACAAAGCAATTATGAAATATATCAACAAGACAGCTGTCAGTATTAGTTTCAAATCATATTTAAAGCATAATGCCTCGTGGTAAGCCCTTAAGTAAAGATTTTCGTTTGTCCATCATTAATGCCCATAAGAAAGGTATTTCGGCACGTCGAATTTCAGTTTCTCATTCTGTGCCGCGTTCTACCGTTCAAGACATTATCAATTTATATAAAACTACTAATGGAGTTGATCAAAAAATTAAAACCGGCCGACCATCTACAATTACAGAAGCAAATAAAAGAGCTTTACGGAGAATTGTGAAAACAAATCGGAGATCTAACACTAAAGAGATAACTGTTTTATGGAGAGAAAGTATAGCCAAGGATATTTCGTTGTCTACAACTAAAAGGACTATTAGAAAAATAGGATACAAATTTTATAAGGTAAAATTTATTCGTTTTTTTTTTGGTGAAACTGTTGGCATCCAATTTTTTTTTAACAGGCAAAAGAAAAGCCACTACTGACAACTTTACAAAAACGCAACAGACTAAAGTGGGCTCGGGAACATCAGAACTGGACTCAAAGACAGTGGTACAATATAATTTGGAGTGATGAGTCCAAGTTTGATGTTTGTGTGGGCGACTCCCGTAAAAGGGTGTTACGAACATCCAGCGAAGCATTCCATAATGACTGTCTAGTAAAAAAAGTAAAGTTCCCAGCATCAGTCATGATATGGGGTTGTATGTCTGCAAAAGGAGTGGGCAAATTACACTTCATCGATGGAATTGTTAACGCCCAAAAATATAAGGAGATATTGGAAGCAAGTTTTTTACCATCTATCGCGCAATGTGCAGCCGATGACGGTGACTTCATGTTCCAACAGGATGGTGCACCTTGCCATACTGCGAAAACTGTGAAGACGTGGTTTCAAGAACATAACATTCCTGTTCTAAAATGGACGTCTTCTAGTCCAGATTTGTCTCCAATCGAGACACTTTGGCACAACATGAAGAAGCAACTTCGAAAAAATCCAGCGCGGACAGTACCCGAATTAAAAGCTACTTTGCAAAATGTATGGAATAATATTCCACCAGAAGAGTGTGCACGACTTGTGGATACAATGCCCAGTAGAATTAAGGCGGTTATTGCTAATAAAGGCGACGTAACGCAATATTAGGTTTTGGCCGAACTATTATGACCCACCACGTGAAATACATTTTTGGTTATACTGATTTGTTTCTTTACGTAATTTAATTATAATTTTCAGTTTCAGCTACTTAAAAGTATAGTTTAGAATATAGTTGTAATAGTTTTGATTAAATTTTGCACCTTTGTTTTAAGTTTAATATTATCTTCAAAAATATAGTTTCAAATTATTACCGGCCGAACTATTATGAGCCTGGGCTCGTACATGTTCCACTTAAAACTGTAATATCTACAACTTTCTTGGTTTTTATTTATTTATTTAAGTTCAGCTTGAGCAAAAATTCATTCAGTTTTTCAATTATGATATTCTCTGAAATATTAAAAGCAAAAGAAAATTTGGAAACATGTAGATCTTTTTCCCAATATTTACTTTTTTCGAGACGTGTCGACTTCAATATGCAATGTATGATGTAACAGGAAAATCTATTATTTTATTTAAATCACACTGAGACAAAATATTCTTTTAAAATAATGTTATAATGGCTTTATTTACACCATATACTAACTAACAAACAATAAATTATAAAAAAAAAATTATCAACAACACAAATAAAAATTGCACAATGGTAAACCTGATAAGGGGCAGAGACAAACCGTATTTTATGAAATACATATTATTTAAAAATTCAGTCGTAGGTGGCTCATGTCATTTATTTAAAATAAAACATGTATGATAGATGACACATATTAGTTTTACAATAATTACATTTTATCAGCTTGTGTTTTTCAATTTAACTATACTAAGATTTACCATTGTACAATTTTTCTGTAGTTGATCATTTGTTTTTTATAATTTATTATTTGTTAGTTAGTATGTGGTGTGAATAAAGCGATTATAATAATATTTTAAAAGAAAAGACTATTTTGTCTCAGTGTGATTTAAATAAAATAATAGATTACATCATACATTACATCTTCCAGATGGCTCGCATTTCCACGTTCAACGAATCAAACAATTTTTTTATCGCCACGCTATCTATACAGAAAGATTTGAACTAATAATTCTAATGGCACTTTGAAGCTATTCGAGAGACCTAATAACCCCAGTATGCGGACCTAAAATAAATTTCTTCGTGTCGGAGATATTGGCAGCGGGAGTGTTAAATGGCACACTGTATAATTCACCAATAATGCAACTTAACAATTGGTTATTAATTAGGTACTTTTAAACACACCCCCATAAATCTGCTGTAGATATGTGTAACATTAACATTTGTATTTTTTTGTGTCGTATTTTACATCGAATAGATTTAATCCTTGTGTCTTTAAAACTTCTTGGTATATCAATCTATGTATTCATGACAAAATAAATGTCAAGTATGCGACTTTTTTTAATCCGTTTACATCGCCCTAGTTCTGCTACTATGGTTATGGCATCCTTTCCGAGGGATGATACGTCTTCCAAGTACTAACCGTTGTCTAAATATTGTTTGACTTTTTATATCAATAACATGAATGCCAAATCGCTAGCCTGCACCCGCCCTTAATTATGTGACTTCAACTATATTCTACAAACTATATTCCAAAAACTATATTTTCTGCTCCATAGTTATATTTACTTTTCACAGTTTACATTTGAAGAATTTCGAAATGAAGTTATGTGCGCAAAAAATATTTTCGACGGTTGTTAGGCGCCGTCTAAACAAAACATTCTACTTTGAACAAATTTCGGCATGAGTCGGCTCCCCGGGGGCCACTTCTGCTCTAATTACGCAGTAATATGACAATAAAACCTTATCTAAACATTGAAAAGTGGGTAGTTTCTATATTCCACATCCTGTCTAAATAATTTTATTGTGTCTACTAAAACCAGGCGCCACCATTGTCGGTCCCAGATGTATTGTTATTGTTCGGCAAGAGTCACGGCCTTGTTAACAAATTTCAAACACGACTACTTAAAAAATCATTTCCCGATCGGCAAAATGCAAAACCTTAAGCTTAACATTAATGGATTATAATGTGGCTCGGCAGATACCGTCAATCAAACTAATGACTGGCCTTTGTTGCAGGCATAAAAGAAAAGTACAAAACTTCCTCCCCTGTAAAAATTCTCCCCAAAACAACTGTGATGTTACGACGGCGGCTACCATTTACGAAGACTTACATGACGTCATTCCAAGGCCTACCCCTACTCATCATCCCCAACTTGCCGGGGGGCACATCGTTGCTCCGTCAATAGAGGTGAGTATTGAATTATTAGGCTTAGTCATGGCATAGCATAATAAGTAAAAAATTGAAAATAAAATTTAAAAATATATATAATGCAATAAAATATGGGTATTCCAGTATTTCGTCCCTTGAAGTTGGCAACAAATTTTAGTTTCTTTTTAATAACTTTAAATCGATTTAAGGGGGCGTTTTTATGCGTAATTTTCAGTGAATTTATATTTTTATCTTTCAATGGGGGTTTTAGAAAATCTACATTGTACATTTTAGAAAATCTGTACTGTACATTGGTTTTAGAAAATCTACATTGTACAGGGTATCTCAAACTCGATAGTACGGGCCTAATGTGAGGATCCAGAAATTTTAAATAAAATTTGGGACACGTGGTGTTAAATTGGATGAGATAAGTTCCATTTTCAATCGAAAGTATTATCTTTGGGATTTGACAAAAACGACTAATGACGTCATCGATTATATTTTTTCCAGTAACATACCTATTTTTTTCCTGTCAAAAAGCTCCCTTTTTTCTAATAATCTTTTATTGGCGAAATTTTTCTCTATTACTTCCTTTTAAAACTTATAAGCAATATCGTCCTGAAGAGTCTCAAAAGAAATACCACCTAAAAATCACATTAGCGGTGGAAGGATCAAGTAGTCGTTTAAAGTGCATAAATGTCACAAAATACTTGTCATTTCTCAATACGAACGTCAAACGTATAACTTTTGTGCTTACAAACTGTTTTCTCATTCAGGAAAAGTTGATAACTATGTTGCTAATTTACGGCGACTCACAAACAAAAATTAAGAAGAGCTATAGAGAACCTTTACAAGACTCGAGGCGACCTTGCAACGAAATGAAAATGGTTTTCTGTTTGGAAAAAATCTAATAATTGATCGAAGAGTAAGAAACAATGTTAATACAGCTAAACTGTTACAGTATTTCGAACAAAATCCACGAAATTCTAGGGCAGGCCAGTCGAAAATTGAATTTGGATAAATCAGCCGTTGAACGAAATTAAAGACCAATGGGTATCATGACTACAAAATTCACAATTTGGAGTATTTGCCTGAGCGTCACATTGAAAACAGTCTTAATTGTATAGCTCAAATTATAGTAAATGTAGAAACTGATGTTTTTCGGCACATTCTTTGAACGGACGAACGCCGGTTTGTCAGTAATAGTTTGCCAAACAGGCGCAACGAACACTAGTAGTACATTGAAAATCCCCATATTGTAAATCCAGTTCAAAACCAGGCCATTTTGCAGTGAATGTGTGGTGCGGCATCATTGCATTTAATTGGGCCTTATTTTTATGAACATACATTGAACAGCGTGAGTTACCTACTAATACTTCTACTTCTAGTGGTTGGTCCTAATAAGTCCCATAGTACTGCGGCCTAATTAAGCCTATTGTGCGTCCCACTACTAGTCCTATTCAGCAAGTAGATTTGTCCTTTTACAAAGTCCAAAAGCTTCCTTGCTGACACTTCTCTCAGTTCCTTGGGTTCCAAATAGGGTCTCCCAAGGAGCGTCATTCTGCTACGTGCAAATCCCGGGCACTCGCCCAGGATATGCAGAGAAGTTTCATCCGCCGATTCACATCCTCGAAAGATCAGACTGTCTACAAGTTTTAGTTTATGTAGATGTTTCCTAAAGTGACAGTGTCCCGTTATGAGTCCTGTCACTCTCCTGAGCCGGATTCTATTCAAGCTCAGTAGCTCATTCGCTCTTCCCTTCGAAGGAAACTCCATAAGCTCCTTAGAATGGCTATGTCCTGACCTTGAAGTCCAGTATTTCCTATGTTCTGTCTCTGTCCATTTGCCCAGAGCCCGCCTGACCACACTGGGAGATGTGCCACAGAAGGGCTCCGGGCCAATGAACACTGTCTCGGATCCCTTCCTAGCAAGTTCATCCGCTTTCTCATTTCCACAAATGCCTTTGTGCCCTGGCACCCAACACAGTCTGACTGTATTGTTGGTGGCCAGTTCAGTCAGCATTTGTAAACAGTCCCACACCAGTTTTGAACTTACCTTGTGTGCGGCTAAAGCTTTAATTGCAGCTTGACTATCAGAGAATATATATATGAGTTTACGTCTATAACCTCTACGTACATTCTCTGCCAGACACGCCATTATTGCGAAGATTTCTGCTTGGAATACAGTAGGGAACTCCCCCAGACTGTAGCTTGCACTCCATCTGGGTCTGAGTCCATATATTCCTGCACCCGTCCCTCTGGTCATTTTGGAGCCATCTGTAAACCATACTAGGCTCCACCTTTCCAGGGTATTAAACCTTTCCTCCCACTCGCTTTGATCCTCTATTCGAGTCTCAAATGGCTTGTGGAAGTGAAACTTTGGAACCATCTTGTCGGATACCATCCCAAGAATTGGTTCCGACATAGATGTATCTTTGATCCTGGAGTGGGAACCACCCCTCCAGTCATTATTATTCCTGAGTCGATATGCTGCTAGCCGCGCTTCTCTCTCCACCACTATATGCAGCGGTGGCAGATTTAGCATGACTTCTAGTGCAGCTGTCGGGGTCGATGCCATCGCCCCCGTTATACCTAAACAGGCCAATCTCTGAATTCTATTCAGTTTTTCCTTCGCTGTGGTCTGTTGTGTTTTCTGCCACCATACCACAGCGCCGTAAAGAATCCTGGGTCTTACTATCGACGTATACAACCAGTGTGACATCTTTGGTTTCAGTCCCCAGGTTTTCCCAATAAGGCGGCGGCATACACACAATGTCTGCTTCGCCTTACTCACCACTTTTTCCAAGTGCGCATTCCAGGTAAGCTTATTATCCAGTATCACTCCTAGATATTTTACTTCCCTGGAAAATGTAATGCCCCTCTCCCCTATTATAGGTTCAGAGAGTCCAGTTAAATTTCTTCTCCTGGTGAAGGGTACTACGACCGTTTTGTCAGGGTTTACTGACAGTGCCTGCCCCTTACACCAGTCATCTATCCATTTCAAAGCCTCTTTCATGAGTTCTGAAACGATAATATTATGTTTCCCGACTATGAGAACGACCAAGTCGTCCGCATAGCCTTGTGTATAAAATCCCTTTCGATTAAGGCCCTCCAGTGCGCCGTCCACCACTAATCCCCATAACAAGGGAGACAGTACGCCTCCCTGGGGGCAGCCCCGGCCTACCTTACACCTGGATGTCTCTCCCGAAAGGGTAGCTGTTACTGTCCGGTTTCTCAACATGGTATCTATCCAACGACACAAAGTGTCTTCAAGGCCCCTGTTGCGAACTGCCGAATTAATAGATTCGAAAGGTGTATTGTCAAATGCCCCTTCAATATCTAAAAAAGCTGCCAAAGCTAGATCTTTGTCGTCCATTGCCCTCTCTATCCTAGAGACTAGGCTATGAAGGGCTGTGTCGACTGATCTGCCTGCCTGATAGGCGTATTGGTACCTGTGCAGAGGATTTGCCCTCAATACCCCGTCCCTTATATGCCTGTCAACTATTCTCTCCAACGTTTTCAGGAGGAAAGATGTTAAACTTATCGGGCGATATGCCTTTGCCTGGGCATACGATGGACGCCCTGGTTTAGGAATAAACGCCACGTTCGTCGATCTCCATGCCAGCGGTATATAACCAAGTGCAATGCTGGCTCTGAAGACGTGAATTAAGACCGGAGCTAGACAGTCCACCCCCTGCTGTAGCAGTACAGGTAGGATTCCATCGGCTCCTGGTGATTTAAATGGGTCAAAAGAACTTATTGCCCATCTTATTCGTGACTGACTCACCACCGTCTTGGCAACCTCCCAGTTCTGTCGAGACCCGGTCGTTACCCTCTGCTGGTGATTCCAGTCATATTCATCTCCATGATTTAATAACCTGGAGCCTGGAAAGTGATTATTTAGAAGTAACTCCAATGTCTCCCTTCCAGTTTTAGTGTATTCCCCACTCGGTGCTTTAAGAGACCTGAGTTTCGTATTTCCATTCTTAGAGTGAAGTTTCTGGAGTTTAGCACACTGTGGGACACTATCAATATCCTCACAGAACTTCCTCCATGAGTCTCTCTTCGCTTTCTCTTCGTGAGTTACCTAAATTTCCTACAATAAGAACTTCCTGCACTTCTGGAGAATGTATCTTTGCAGCTAAGGAGAAACCTATGGTTTCAGCACGACGGCGACGGGGCTCCACCTCACAAGACCAGGATTGTATAGCAATATTTAGATAACACTATCCCAGAAAAATGGATTGGGCTTAATAGACCTATTCAGTGGCTCGGAAAGTCACCAGATCTAACACCCCATGATTTTTTTATGAGGGGTTTTAAAAAATAAGGTGTAAAAATCACATTCGTGAGATATTAATCATTTGAAAGAAAAATATCACAAACGCTTGTAATGAGTTAAACGGCGAAATGTTAATAAAAGCAACCCACAAAGAAGTCAGGCGAAGATCGGATATGTGTATTGAAATGAGAGGAGATAGAGAATAGATTGTATAATATGTATGTAGTATGAAAGTGTTTGCCTCATTTTTTAAGTATCACTTTTCGCTTTAACTGTATTAAAGAATTATCGAGTTGAATCCCCTTATTTATTCTTAATGACATTTACGCACTTTAAACAACGAACATTCGATTATTTTCCAACGATTACTTAATCCTTCCACTGCTAATGTGATTTTTAGGTAATATTTCTTCTGAGACTCTAGGACGATATTGCTTATAACTTTTAAACGGGGAAGTAGTAATACAGAAAAATTTCTCTTATACAAGTTTATTAAAAAAAGAGAGCTTTTTAACAGAAAACAAGTGTGAGTATGTTTCTGGAAAAAATATAATTGATAACGTCATTAGTCGTTTCTGTCAAATCCCAAAGATAATACTTTTGATTGAAAATGGAGCTTGCCTCATCCCATTTAACACCACGTGTCCCAAATTTTATTTAAATTTTTTATATCCTCACAGTAGACCCATACTATCGTGTTTGAGACACCCTGTACCAACTAAAATTAAAAAAATTACAAATAATTTGAAAATATTGCA